ACGCTCAATCCACAAGCTAATGAGCTATGAGTAGTCCTATCGACTTGCTAGAAAGACAAAATTAAATGGCATTTGGACCATCTGTAATGAGAGAGATTTTCCTCATCTGGTGTGGGGCACAAAAGAATCACTCAAATATCAGATATCTATCTGGTCTGAAAGACAGGCATGCTTAGGACCAAAATGCGAATATTTGATCATGTGAGAAAAATGCGAAGAAATTTATTTTCATCAGCAATTTTTTCAAACTTAGAAACTTATGACTAACATATTACGATTTGCCCACTTATAATGCAAGAGTTTATGTCAGATCAAACTTTCGAACACAAATCACCATCAATTTTAAACCTGTTCATGGAACATTTAGCATTATTGTGCAAATCGGTTTAAATCATACTTAATAAATTCAGATGTTAATATATTTAGACGCGTTTGATAACGAAAAATTAAACATTTAAATTAATTAAATGATACTGAATTTCGTAGGTAAAACTTGCTTTCAAAAAATAAGTGATAAGCTATTTACTTGTCATTTAATATGATACACACTTAAAATGTATTAGATTTAAGATTTAACAATTCAATAATTTAATGGATTCAAATTTCAGACTCCAGTTATATTTAACGCATCTTAAGTACACTGAGGTTGAGACTCTAAAAGTCAGAGATACTGAGTTCAATTCTTCTATTTTTCTTTTCCACTTTTTAAATTTCACCCAACCCCACTCCGCCTCATCCCTACTTTTAAAAGGAATTTTTTTTTTTTAAAAAAAAGAGGCATAGTAGACTACAAAACTTTTTACTAAATTAGGTAAGGAAAAAATAAGGAGGACTTTCATGCCCTTTAGCTAGTCAAGCATGACCTTTCTGTTCATGAATTATAACTTCGTCTATTTAATTTCGACGATCATTAATTATCCTTAATCAAACACTAGCACACTGTCTGCCTCAGTTCTGAAAATAAAGCCTTGTTTGGATTGTCCATTTTTTTTTTCAAAAAACTTTTAGATTTTTTGTGAATGTATTTCCCAATCATCTTTATATCTCATATATATTAAATCGTTATAATACATTTTCTTTAAAAAACTTCAAAAAAAAGTTAGCAATCCAAACCGGTTCTTAGATTTAATTTGAGCCAAATCAAATACTAAAAAATCATGCAAGAATTTACCCTAAAAATTCTTGAGTTAGACAATATGGATTGACCAAAATTGTTGGGTTACACAATTTGCAAGCAAGATCGAATTTTGTAATCCAATCTAATATTATCCTAGTCTGATTGGGCATGCTAACAAATTTTAAAAATAATTTGTTATAAAGTATTACAGTGCAAACAAATGCAACTCTATTTCTAGTTGCTTTGAAAACTCTCCCTTTTTTTTTTTTCTTTTGTTGGTATTACTGATTGGAAAAACCGTTAAGATGGGGAAACTCCCGCGAATTCCCAACTTTTGAAGAATACCAAACCCCCGCCGCCGTTTCTCTCCCTCCGAAGAGTCTTTGCAATGGCTGATGGCAATACCCAGAGCTAGAAACAATCCCTTTCCTTCCCATTCAAATTTCCAAACACCCTCTTCTTTCATCTTCCTCTTCTCAATCCTCCCAATGGCTTCTCAAGCAAAGTATCCTCCCCCTCCCTCTTATTCCTCCACCACCATATATATACCAAACCCCACACATCTTACCATTACAAGCCGAAGAACAAGCTGCAGCAACCTTGATTGCAAACTAATTATCTTCAACCTTCTTTTTCAGCACCACTCATTGAACGCTTTTTATCACCAAAATGGAATCAGAAAATGCCCGGAAGCTGACCCTTTTCAAGTACTCTAAACGGGTCATCTTGAAAGATATTGTCGGCAGGGATGATGGAGGAGCGGGGCTGCTTGGACGGAGAGTAGTCATTGGTGGATGGGTTAAGTCCTCTAGGGAGATTAAGAAAGACCCTCCTAGTACGGTAGATACTGATGCCGTTGGACCCAAAGATGCGAGTTGTGTGGAACTTATACAGTCTAGGATACCTTTTCTCAGGTCCATTTTTAAGGTTTTAGGCAGCGGAGATCATCGGATTCGTGACAAGTTGGATTCTGTAACTCCTAAACCACCGCAACCTTCAACTTCGGTTCTGAAAATTAGTGATGGATCTTGTGTACGAACTCTTCAGGTAAGTAAATTATAAATTCCTCTGTTTTTACGTAGATAGTGTTCAACACAAGCTCCTTTCGAACTCGATTTTACATGATTTCCGTAGAATGAGACCCTCCCTTTTGCTTTTTTTTTTTTGGGTAAATATATCTTCTTTTTTTTTGGGTGTATGTGCTCTCTTTTAGGTTGCGGTGGACTCAGCTTTAGCTTCTCCAAGCCAAATCATGCCTACTGGAACTAGCATACTAGCAAAAGGTATATTGCAGCAGCTATTTTTGCGGGGGAAGCATGTCGTTGAGCTCAAAGTCGAGCAACTTCTACATGTGGGGATTGTTGATCCGGACAGCAGGTATCCTTTGTCCAGGAAACGTTTGCCCCTGGAAATGTTAAGAGATCGTTCCCACATTCGGCCTCGGACAACTACGGTAAATACTTGCCTTTCGTTGTGCTCATTGCCTTCGAGCTTTACCATAAATTATTGGGTTTAGATGGAATTTGGGACTTTATCCCTCGATCAATCAAAGGGCATGGCAACCACAAGGAAAATTTTTAAGTCCAATCCACATAGACTAAGAGATCTGGTTGTTTATAGTTGGAAACAAAGTTATGGAAAAATTAAACATGGAATCAGCCAAATAATCAGAATATTAGTAAAGTTTCAGCGGCGACAAATAGCAGCATTTCCTGGCCATACATCATTCAAGAGAAATAGTTGTTCATCTTATAAATGGGTTGACACATTCTTTACAATCACTAAATGAGGACCAGATTTTCCACTAAGGAGTTAGGACCGCTTTTGCCTTGATATTGTGACGCTCCAATTTTTAAATTTTGAGTAATTTGTTGGAAATATTGCAGGTTGCATCTATAACACGAATCAATAATGCTCTCACTCAAGCAACTCATACCTTCTTCCAGAATCATGGGTTTCTTTACGTGCAAGTGCCCATAATTACATCCTTGGACACTGGAGGATTTAGCAAGAAATTTCAAGTGACAACTCTTTTTAACAAAGAAACAGTACAGGGCCAAAATATTGTGGATAATACTGCCGGTGTCAGCCTTGATAATATCAAGGCTTCTATCAAGGAAAAAAACAGACTAGTTGAAGAACTGAAGAGGAGTGAAAGCAATAAGGAAGCTCTAGTTGCTGCAGTCCAGGATCTGAGAAAAACAAATGAACTTGTGGCACAGTTGGAAGCAAGAGAGAAGGCAAAATCTGAAACATCACTAAGAACAGAGAAGCTCAATTTCTCTGAAGATTTTTTCTCTCGCCCGGCATATCTCACAGTTTCAGGTCGCCTTCATTTAGAAAGCTATGCGTGTGCCCTTGGAAATGTTTACACATTTGGACCTAGATTTCAAGCTGAAGAGTCGGAATATTCCAAGAGGTTATTAGCTGAAATGTGGATGGTTGAGCTCGAAATGGCTTTCTCGGAACTGGAAGTATAACTTTTCTTTTCTTCCCCAAGATGTTATCTTGCTCTCTCTCTCTCTCTCTCTCTCTCTCTCTCTCTCTCTTTTTCCCACTGATGTGTTCTGGGTCAATTTTTGCCCACTTCCAATATGCTTTACAGCTGCCTAGTTTATTTCTTATTGCCATTGTTATTAACAATAGCAACTTTTGCATTCCCATGGCATCATCAAGGATGCCATGGACTGTGCAGGTGACTTGTTGAAATACATGTGCAAATGGATTTCGGATCATTGTCCTGATGACCAAAAATTTTTATCAAAGAGAATTGACCAAACTCTTGTAGATCGCCTCCAATCAATTGTTTCAGGCTCATTTGAAAAGATAACATACGCCGAAGCAGTCGAAATTTTGAAACAGGTACAATCTATCAGTTTGTCTATTCTAAAATTGTTATTCTCGGCATTTAGCATACTTATCCTACAATCCGACTCAACTTTCTGAATCAGGTGCCGGGTAAGAAATTTGAAGCCAAACCAGAATATGGTTTTACTTTAACTGAAGAACATGAAAGGTACACAGTTTCTGGCAGTTGTTACTCATATTTTTCCATGGAACTGCATATTGGTAAACTTCATGTCCCTTTTATTATTTTTGCAGTTATCTTGCAGACGAGATCTATAAAAGGCCTGTTATTATCTACAACCAACCAAAAGAAATTAAGCCTTTCTATGTGCGCCTAAATGATGATGGGAAAACAGTTGCTGCATTTGATGTTATTTTGCCAAAGGTAAGATTAGGACACAACTTTAAATGACTAGAAATTTGTGCAGCAAGGTGTCAACCATCCTTCGTCTCGAGTTGAACTTAATTTAATCTAGTAGAGATTTATTTCATTTCTTAGCTGAGAATAATTATACTCAGGTTGGAGCGGTGATACGAGGAAGCCAAAATGAGGAACGCTTCGATTGGTTAAGCCCAAGGTGAAGAACCCTGTCCTTTGTCAATTAGATTTCACCTCTAATTAGTAAACATAGTAATACTTATGGGGTTCATAATGTTAACCACTCCAGTTTATAGTCAGCCTGAAACTTATTTACCTGTTATCTTTCTGAATGTATCTTTTTTTTCCCCCGGTGGGGTTATGCTTGGGTTTGACAATGTCATACGTTACTGGGCGGGATGTATTGTGCAGGATGAAAGAACTGGGCTTGACGAACCGAGAATACGAGTGGTACTTGGATCTTCGCAGACAGGGAACAGTCAAACATTCTGGCTTCAGTGTGGCGCTCGACTTATTAGTTATTTATGCTACTGGCCTCAATGATATCAAAGACGTTGTTCCTTTCCCCAGAATCTATGGCAGCGGCAATCACTAAGTTTGTAGCAGACGACCAGCGAAAGGCCAGCGAAAGGCATGAAGAACTCTTTGTACATATTTGTGTTGTCTGGCAATAAAGCTGTCCATTTATTTGCAGACATGTAAATTACATGCAGTGAATCATACGTAAGACATACAGAGAGAGATGATTAATACAATACAGAATACAGTTTCTTTATTTGACTCCCCTTTAACATGACATTATAGTTCCGGGTATGGTGAACCCTGGAAGGATTTTATTTCTTGTTACACTGACAAGCGCTCTTACGAATCAAGAGGATAGTAAAACGGATATATTTCATAACGAACATAGCAGCTGCCATATAGGACTCGACATCCAACAGTTTTCTCATTGTTGCAGAATTTGGGGAAGTTGCCAATGGCTATATTCAGACACTCGGAGCAAGAATGTCTGGACAAATCCCTGGTGCACTGGGTCAAGGCATAAATGGTATCATTAGACGCGACACTAAAACTCTTTCCCCTGCCAAGCCCTTCATTTGCAGGCACAACAGCCTCAGAGCTGACCTTGCTTATAAGAGCATCTAGTTGTTTCTTGAAAGCAGAGGGATGTTGTGGATGATCATTATTGTACAAGTTGGCAAAGCTAGATGGATCAACATTTCCAAAGAATTGGTCGTCGTCAAACCTTAGGATGCAGTTATCATTCTGCCAAAGCCAGGCATCAGTCTGGTTTTGACAATTTGTGCGAATGTTTTTGGCTGCATCTTGAATGCAGGTTGTGCAATCTGTGCTGTTCACATCTCCTCTGCATTGTCCCAAGCCGTAGACTTTGTCTGTACCTTTGCCGTAAGTGGCGATGCTGAAGCGATTCTGAGAAGTGCTCGAGGCTAGTTCAGCCACCAAGCTATCGATGTTTGCGGACATTTGGGCTGTGGGTATTGTTGAATTGTCACTGCAGTTCTCAACACTAACGTCTGCAAGGACTGCAAAAATGCAGCTGCTGAGGAATAGCAAGAAAATAAAGCGAGACAAAGCCATATTTCTGATTTCAGTTGTTGCAATTTTCACTTGCATTTGCTTTCTCAATGCTGCTATATTTTTTATAGGAGAAAACATTTGCGCGTCTCTATTGCCAGCTAATTGTCTATTCCTAGAAAAAAAAAACGGCAAGAATAGCCGGAGCTGCAGATTTTCTTGACTTGCTGCTGGTCAAAGTAAACCATTCAATCTTCTGGAAATCCTATCCAGAAAATAATAATAATACTAACAAATAAATGAACAACTATTGCATAATTCAACGAAAGAGAGAGAGGCCCACAGAATATGGATTAGTGGCAAAATTTTGTTGTTTTCTTTTTTTTTATATATATATTTTAAATCCAACATTTGTAAAGCAGCACTAGCCAGTACAGTATTTCTCAAAGGGCCACACGAGTTCTTGAGATGAATAATAAATTCTACTAGTAGAGTGGAGAATAGCATTGCATGAAATTTAGAGTGCAACAGTTACTAGCCCAAAAATTAATTACTGTTGTCCATGCAAAATCCCACTGTATACCCTTTGTGTTAAATAAGATCCCAGTCATAAATTTTGACTTAATTTACACTGTTGTCCATGTAAAATCCAACTGTATACCTTATCCTCAGAGGAATTTTGACTTAATCCAAGTCATAAATACTACTGAATAAGGAAAGAGCTATTTCTTGTTGGATGTAACTGGGGAATATGGGATTTGGACGCGGGTTGCATGCAGCTGGGGATGAAGCATTTGAGACCGAAAGACAAAAAACTAGTCAATAACACCGCCTGATTATTGGAACGCTTGTGGGATTACAAGACTAAGTTACCACCGCGTAAGCATTTGTTCAAATACTAATAATTTACTGCACTAGCGTAATAATATTCTGCTAATTGCCTACTAAATATTATTAAATATTAATATCATCGTTGATCTTCTTTCTTCCAAATCCAGAGAAGACCCAGTCGGAGGAGCTCTCCATTATTCTCCTCCCGTCCCGTGTAGGTCTATTTTCGGGAGGAAGAAGCGCACGAAACCCAATCAATTTAGGTGCGTGGGATTGAATCCCGAATTAGAAAGCAACTCTTATAAATTAGTAGTATAACTGTGCAGGTGCTGAATACCACTCTGCCGGACAGGATTCAAATGTTAAATATTTTTTTTTTGGAAAAAATAAAATTAATTTAAGGGAAAGCGTCATAATGTAAGAGGTACAATAAATAAATATGAATGCATGTATTTACATAGTAATTTAAATGTTTTAACAAGTGCAGTTTCAAATTATAATTCCCGTGTCAAATTTTTGTAATCCGAAAGGCTTCAAGTCGAACATCCTTCAAATGTCTCAGTACAGATTACTTAAAAATTAATCTTTTTCTTTACTTCAGACGACTTTTAATCTCTTTTTGTTTTCTTAAAATATCCTTTTCTTTTAAGGTTCTTTTACATCTCTTTTGTTTTCTAGGATTGCTGTTTTCCGTCGAAAAATTACGTCGTTTTCCGTAATCACATATCTCTATTACCTTTTTCCCTCACATACATCAAATCGCTACAGTAATTTTTTCATAAAAAATGCAATCCAAACACAGGTTTTGTTGTATCCTACCTACATCCAGATCAATACGTCATTAAGCATATTGCCATAAACATATCGATTAAATCCCGGTAGAATATAAGTTTATCAGCTTTTGCGTTTGATGAAATTAAAAGGAATTAGATGGCATTTGATTTTATTCGAGTATCCGTATTTATACCATGTAATTACATCTATGCTTTTCTCTCCAACCCTTTTTAATTTTCTTTTTTTTTTTTTATGGGTTCTAGGGAACAATAGCACAGAGTACTTCTTTTTTAAGCCTTGGAGCGTCTAACACAAAATGTTTTAGTCGGAGTGCAGGACTCAGGGCATAACAACAGTAAGATACATAATTTTCAACCGGATCTTAAATCATTTTAAATAACTAGCAGCACTTTTGTGTCTTAGAAAAAAAATTTATAAGTGATAAAGATTTAAAAAGCGGGGAGAAAAAAGGGATTCGGACTCGGAGTTCTAAATCCCAACTTTAACCTTTAACTGAAAGTAATCCTCAAAAAAAATATCATATATCCTATTATCACCGCCAACATTCTCTCAAAAATTGCATATATCCTTTTCCCCTCCGGTAAGTTGTGGCATAGCCCGCCGCGACAAACCGAAAAGTTGGTGGCAAACCAGCACTGACAATTTGCTTATTGGGATTCATCAGTTATCCTGCCAATGACATGGTAGATTATTGAGTGTGTACATACATATATATATATATATGGAATGCGAGAACGATGCCATACGAGGATTTGTCGACAACGACACAGAACAGAAACTGAGTATTACTGAGCACAAAATTCAGTGAAGAACTGAATCTGTATAATAAGCATATGTTATGCGTTTAAGGCTTAATAACTGTGGACGAGTGGTAGTACTTCATGGGCATATTGACTAAGGTCTCTTTTGGGTCGAGAGGGAAGAAAAACGGATATAACTCATAACGGACGATGCAGCTACTGTAGAGAACTCGGCATCCTTTCTTGTTATTGCAGAAGGTGGGGAATTCCCCGATTGCTATGGCCAAGCACTGTTCGCAAGAAAGCTGCGAGAGGTCCCTTGTGCATTGAACCAATTCATATAGAGTCAAAAAAGGTGACAACTCTTTCTTTCCTCTCCCTAGCCCGTTGTTTCCAGGGGCAACAGCCTCTGAACTGATCTTATCCGACAATTTTCCGAGTTCTTTGTTGAAAGAGTCAGGATCGGTTACATTCTCAACATTGTAGAAGAATATCCCGATTGATGTATCAACGCGCCCGAAGAATTTCTCGGTTTCATATCTTAGAAAACAGTAATCATACCAAATTCGAGCATCAGCTTGAGTCGGGCAAAGTTTGCGAATTTGTTTCGATGCATCTTTGATGCAGCTCGAGCAATCTTCGTTGCTCACATCTCCTCTGCATTGTCCCAGGCCAAAGACTTGGTCTTTGGCTTTGCCGTAGGAGCTGGTGGTGAAACCATTCAGGACAGTTCCTGATACCAATTCAGCCAACAAGCTATCGATGTTTGCTGACAACTGGGTGCTGTTTATTGGAGAATTGTCATTGCAAAACTGACTCCAAAGCTCTGCGGATTCAGCTGTGCAGATGCAAAGTGCTGTTAATAAGAGAAGAAGCTTATGAAAGGAAGCCATGGTGAGTTGATGATATGTAACTGAATGTCAAGCTGGGTGTCCACTCTCCAGCAGGTCTCCCCCTTAATTTATATCGGGTAAATCAAATATCTTGGTGGCCAGCTCTTGGATTGAATTGGTGGAGGATGATGAAGCTGGCAGACATTTTTGACTTGGAGAGCAAATTAGAGCCACCATTCGTGTCCCGGTAAAAGTTGACGAGTTATATTCTTCTAGAAATGTTACCCAGAGAGAGAGAGAGAGCGCGCGCGCGCGGGCGCGCCTCTTCTGCCTGAAGGGTGGCTTTCTGCAGTAATTGGTGCAAATCTTCAAAGTTTTTGGAAACAAAAACCTTTCCAAACAGTAGTATTTTATTCGTTATTGGCAAATCAAGAAACGAATAAAATTTGGCAACTTGAAACCCCAAAATTTTACGTTTTAAGGGTGGTTAAATACGATCTCAAGTTTTTGATCTTCAACAATCATATATTTAGTCGCCGAACATTATTGCGAAAATTAGCAAGCTACCCATCTTCAGAACCCTACCTTGCCAAGACATTTTAGACACTGAGACTGAATCCAATTATTAGCGTTTGCTGTCACTGGTCGCTGACCAGTTGTATTAAGATATGTTTGGATCCAGAAACATCTGGAGCTGGATATACTTTTCTCCAGAGGGCAAATTGAGAAAAGTTCCCTCGTAAGAGCTAGGCACGTAATTAAGCAAGAGAATTTCTTACAACATTAAAAGAAGAGTCTTGCTTCAGCTTGGGGCAAATCCATTGAAATATGCGCATGATGTGGCAGACCAAAATGTCCCCACCAAACACCTTGAATCTGATCGGTGGAAGATTATATCTCACACACACACGCACACTGCAACAGGAGTCGAATTCAACAATTGAAATCGTCTAAGGAAGCCAAGTGGGTGGGGACAGGGGTTGGAGTCCGCATTAGTGGCTATTCAATTTCAATGTTGAAAGATAAGCCCCTCAAAGTTGCACAAGGACCAATGGATATGGAGGAGCTGATAGTTATAACTTTTAAGCATACAATTATTGGTAGTTTGCATTGGCAAGTTTGCCCTGAGTTCTAGAGAAGCAAAGATGAAAATCGGCATTTTCTGGCCATCAGCTCTTCAAGGTTTATTTTTGTTTTGTGGGCTCTTCCATCTTTTCTACTGCTCAATATTTTTCACAGGGTGTGTTTGTTTGGATATAAAATATTTTTCAAAAAACATTTTCTACATTTTCCGCTGTTTGGCTCTTAATTAAGTGGGAAAAATATTTGCGGGGGAAAAAAATTTTCCTTAAAAAAAGACGGAAAACAACTTACTCCCGCGAGTTACTAAAGTTATTTTCTTTTAATTGAGCGTCTCTCAGTGGGCTCTTTTTGATCAAGGAGCTATACATCGGAAGAGACAGAGAGGTCACCAACAACAACCTCCATTTCCGGCGAAGGGAGTGATCCAAGGTCAGATTCCAATGATGTAAAAATCTCTGGAGAAGTGCATATTCCTATTGAGTTCGGGCCAACGGTGGTGCCTGAAGAGAAAGTAAAGACGGCAAAGCCTCCACCTTCCGTCAAGAATAGCGGCAGAGCGACAATCAGCCCGGCAAAGATTGAACCTTCCGGCCATCTTAATTTTAAACCGGAGGAGGGCACCTCAATACCGGTGTCTCACGGCCGATTGGGTAAAGTTGCTTCAAAGAAAGAAGCCAGACCAGCTGTTTCTCCTTTAATGGAGGAGAAACTCAAGCAGCAAAAGACTGCTTCAGCAAGCATCATTGTGATACAAGGCCTCGGTCAAGGAATCATTGCTCCGCCCCCATGTCCCTCCCGCACGTCATCGAAAGAAGAGCAGAAAAAGCCGAGGGCCCGTGCTGCTGCAGGTGATCAAGAAGGCAAGCAACCAGAGCATAGCAGCACTGCCAGCGATGTGTTTTCTGATTATATTACTGGTGTGAAGAACAAAACGAGAACCCCATCAAATGTTAGTGAGGAGACCGTGAATGCAAGTCAATTTGCAAGGTTGGCGACAAGGCGAGACAGCTTCAATGACAAGGTTGTTAACTATATCAGCAAACGTTCAAATGCGGCAAACGTCCCTTTTCCAATTGCAAATTTGGATATGGTATTATTTGAAATATTATTTGAAATAATTACTGTAGCATTTTTTATGATGTGATGTATGTGAGATAAAAAGGTGATTGGAAATATAAAAAGATAGGTTGGGAAATGTGTTTGTGATGCAAGCAAAATATTATTTGAAATAATTGAGATATCCAAACACTCCCAGTATTTACTGAGAGTTGGGTTAAGGGTCAATATAGAGTTGGAAGAGTTTTTCCTTGTGTTGTGACTAAGTAGTATGTCAAATAACTTAATCTATACATACATTTTTAAGTTTGCAAAAGCAAACACTTGATTCTTTGTAGCATATTTGAAATATCAGGTTTGGTAAAAGAGTACAACATGAATGGAACTATGTGAAAAAGTCAAATATTCTAATTTTTTAAGGTTAAGAATGAAGTAAAATTATAATCAAATGAAAAATATTTGTAATTACCACAAATTCTAAAGGCAAAGAGTGAAGTAAAATTATAATTAAATGGGAAATATTTGTAATTACCATAAGGTCGGTAGGAAAGTATCTTGAACATTTACATCAAACATTAGAAAATGGGTTCAGAAAATATTTTCGATAGGTTAACTAAACACAGAAAAATTATGAAAATGAAATCATTTTCCTAGAAAATGACTTGCACTGAAAACATTTTCCAAGGGAAAATATTTTACATCCAACCAAACAGACCCTTCGTGCAAGTCGCTGAAGCTGACTTGTACTGAGGGAATATTCATCCATTCTTTCTTTGTATGCAACTGCGGATAATTTGGACAAATGTTTAGCTTCAGTTTACTGTTTTCATCTTCACTGCCCATCTGTATCAGATTCTATCAATTTCCGGTGATCAATCATTGATCATAAAATATTGAGTTGAACGTAATATCTTCTTGTCAGGATAAAGATTAGAAGCTGGCTGCCTGCTCCCACTCCATCTCCACTCTCCACCCGGACCAGTAGGTGTTGGATCTTACAGTATTGTCTCACAGTATAAAATTGCAAACGAACATTCTAATCTGTCGCCTGCATCCTACCCTCAGGATAACCCCATCATTTAGCTGTTTCTCGCGTCTTAAAACATGCATGTTTTAGGAGAGCAAGAACCCCAGACCCCATCTTTATTCATTTATTCACCGTCTGTATGAGAGGCAACAGCAATCTAATTCCGTTCAGCCAACTCTCGTGACTGACTTTATTAAGGGTAGGGTGTTATTAGCCTTTTTATATCTTTTAAGATGAATTTGTAGGCGATAATCGAGAAGAATTTTAGATTTACATATTGAGATTTTAGACTGCAACCAAAGAGGAATAAAAAACTTTTTCCTTTTTTCACAAAAAAGAAATGTCTTTATCCGTCAATTACGCAGTTTATCCCTGCTAACTTCACTCCACTGCAAAAAAAAAAAAACCTCACTGTAAAGTTAAAGAACTTAAAAACTCCCAACCTTTATTTCCTCCCATTCCCATTCTCCCAGCTTGTCAACCCTCGCTTCTTCTCTCTCTCACAAGCCGGACGTCTCCTCCTTTTGCTCTCCTCAAACAAGAAGAAAAAAAACCCTCCACCGCCCCCGAGTTCCCGACCAACGAAAGCAAGAAGATGGCCGAAGAAGAAGGAGAGGAGTATCTCTTCAAGATTGTAGTGATTGGGGACTCAGCAGTGGGCAAATCCAACTTGCTCTCCCGCTTTGCAAGAGATGAATTTGACCATAATTCCAAGGCCACCATTGGGGTGGAGTTTCAGACCCAGGTGGTTGAAGTTGATGGCAAGGAAATTAAGGCCCAAGTTTGGGACACTGCTGGCCAAGAACGTTTCAGGGCTGTCACTTCTGCTTACTATAGAGGCGCTGTTGGGGCCCTCATTGTCTATGATATCAGCAGGAAAACAACTTTCGAGAGTACCAAACGATGGCTGGATGAGCTCAATAGTAAGCGTTTTGATTTTTTTATGGGATTTGTGAGATTGTAGCTATTTTTTTCCCGGTGATTCTGGAAATGGCTAAAGGTTCAATCTTTGTTGAGTCTCCGTTTACATCTGAGCATTGTAGTGTTTTTGTTAACTCATATTCTGCATTTAGGAGTTGGGAAGTGGCTAAAGGTTTTATCTTTTTGTGGGGGTCTGGATCCAATCTGAGGCTACTAGTCTTAATATTCTTCTTTTCAACCTTTTACGCTATTTTTATCTTTTATCGGTTGCTTTTCATTTTTGGATAGTTGGTTAATCAATTCAAGATATAGTATTAGTTTTCTGAGATAAAATTGTAGAATTAAATCTGTTATCGTCTTCTGAATTAGAGATTTATGTTCAACTTTTTTGCTGCTAATTCTGATATTGGAGTAGATTTAGCAAAATTGCTAAGTGATTCTAGTCAACCCAAAATGCTATGCTACTTATATTAATTTTGGATGATAAGCAAAGCTGTGAACAGTGCCAGGTCCCCTGAATTTGATGCTTCTTGCAAGTAGAAGAAGTTTATCATGTTTCTGTGCCGTTGAAAACAGATGGTAAACATATCTGCTTGCCTCGTCTTTTGTTCTGTGTTTAAGAATAAATCACTAATGCAAGAACCAAGGACCTTCGCTCCAAGAAGATAACTAGTCCTATAACTTGACCTCCCATAAATAAATACATTTCAGAGGTACATTTGGAGATGGTATTTTCTTAGCAAAGTGTTGCAATAAGCATGACAAACATGCTGCAGCAGGATTTTGATGATAAACAATTGAGTTGATATATTAAGGCATGCTGATCGTGTCTCAGGTTAACCATGAGAAAGCTTTTTGTGTACTATCTTCAATCACCTCATGGACCCTGAAAGAGGAAAACCAAATGATGAAGAATGAAACCCCTGAAAAAGTTGCACAAATTGCATTTAGAGCATCAAAGTTAAAATTCAGCATTTTTTTTAGTCTGTGAGACTCAGATGGCTATTTTTCTTTCTTTTCATTTTTATTTTGTATTTTTTAGGTATATGGTTATTTTTCTGCTTCATTTAAAGTTCTTGTTTTGCTTGTAGATTGTTTGGATGCCTTTAATTTTTTGTCAACAATCAGCTGCTATTATCCCCTTTAATTGTAAGACGAAATTACTTTCCCATCTAAAATTGATCATGCATCCTTCCATAGGTTGAGAGTCATTAATCCATTCTTGATGCCAAAAAAAATGTCTGTTGATAATATACATGTGGTTGAGCAGCTCTTCTGCTTCTTTTTTAATTCTGACGTGTAGGCTTCTGAATGAAGATTCAGTATGAATATACTCTTCCCCCCCCCCCCAACCCACCCAACCCCTAAACACACAACCAAAAAAAAAAGAGAGATGAAGAAGAAGAAGAAGAGAGATTCATATGAAGACTGGTCTCTAATGGTTAATGAGTTTTGACTTCTGATTGGACGATCTTGCAGCTCATTGTGATACCACTGTAGCGAGAATGCTGGTTGGGAACAAGTGTGACTTGGAGGACATTAGAGATGTCAGCGTGGAGGAGGGAAAGAGTCTTGCAGAAGAGGAGGGATTATTCTTCATTGAGACATCTGCACTAAACTCGACTAATGTAAACGCTGCTTTCGAGATAGTCATCCGAGAGATATACAACAATGTTAGCAGGAAAACTCTCAACTCAGATTCCTACAAAGCTGAATTATCCGTCAATCGAGTCAGCCTGGCAAATGGGATTGACTTATCCAAGCAAAACAAGAGTTTTTCCTCTTGCTGCTCCAGATGAGTTTCCATATCTATTGGAGGTTTCATTTCCTTTTCTTACTTTTTATGTCCATGCGAGTCCACTGCAGAGGTGCTTTTGAAGCCTCTGTTTAGAGTGTTTTTGTTGGGCGTCCTCATGAGAAACCTCTGGGGATTTAGTGTGACAAAAGATTCTACTTCTGGAATGGTGTTGTGATATTGGCTTCAGTGTCATGGAGTTGAGTAGTCCTGGATGCACGATGGGCAAAATTTGTAGGATACAAATGAACGACATTAGCATGTTGCAATTTATTTATTTTTTGCGGCATGTAAATCTATGTGTCATATACGCACTGAGAAATCTGCTGTACTCTACTTCTAAATTCCTCTGAAACAGTACGGAGAAAAAGGGGTGATTTTGATTATTTTTGAAAAGCTTTTGACGGCATTATTTCTCTCTGAACTGAGAACATCTCTTGAGTGTGGAAGTAATTCGTATCGTTTTTGTTTTGAAGCGTTGCGAGCGACTCCAACACAAAGAGGTCACCTTTTTTGTTACATGGATAGTATCCTCTCTTAGGTTGGGGTTGTTTGTGTGAAAGCATTAAAATCTCAATCTCAAAGAGGAATGTTTCTTGGCGCATTAGCAATTTTGGGGTCTGCATTAAATTTTATGTGTGCCGATGAACACTAGTATGGTAATGGAAAAATGCTACTGGTTCTGAAAGGTGTCGCGTGATGTAAATAAATGCATTTCTGCTGAATCAGACTCTGTCATAAAATCATTTTATCTGCACTAAACTTGTGGCCATCCCCGTATGCTTGTTTCACATGATCTTGTATCCCGTGAAGCCCTCTCTTTCGCCTAGATTTGATCGCTCATCAAGTCAATAACTAACTACTCTCTTTCGCCTTCTCCGACCGAGCTCCCCTCCTAGCAAGTGACGGCAACAGTCGAAATACGAAGGCAACAAACTGAATTTCGAACAAGGGCTGAAACTTGATAATTTCCAACTGCGAACGCCCGTGAGCCAGAAACACTGAGCAAACACAAGATGTGAACTCGACGAGCAAGAGAGATCAAGAAAAGTGCAGGCACCAGCAAAGGCCAATATAAACAAGGATCCAGCCTTAATGGCAGTGATATTCTACTCTGTATAGAGCAGTGAGAAACCTCAGAAGGGCGGAGAATCAATATTTTAGATTACAATATCAGAAATTGATAAATGAAATTACCATATTGTAATGTGCCAATAAGTTCACGAAAATAACTTTACACCTCCACAAACAATAACAAGAGAATACAATCTATAAATCTAACTCTATACACCTACAAAATCTGCACAGGCCCCAAGAAACTTTAGTTGAGAAGATTTCATGGCTTCCGCAATGCAGATGCTGCACCCAACACAACAGCCAACACAACGCCCAGACCAGCGCCAAGTGAAGCACCGACAGCTGCAGAAGTGAGAGAGTTTGCCTTAGCACGAGCATCTTGGTTTGACTGTGCTACCAACGCACGTGCACGTGCCAATTCCACAAAAAGCCTGTCTCGTGCCAGTTCCTTGCAAATTGCAAGAAGGGGAAAGACATTTAGAATGTTTTATATTTCACTGATAATACAAAGAAACAATTATAAACACCTGGAGCGGACAAATGCAGATCCACACCTCCATTTATGCTTCTATAAACAAAAGAGATAGAAAGAAGGGAGTGATGATCTAAAGATTGGCTACCTCAAAAGCAGCTTCCTCATGGTTCCGGAGCACATGGTGAATGAGCTGACAAAAAGCAGCTACACCCTCCACAGGGAGAACGGCAGCTTTCTTCTGGAAAGGTCTCCATGAAAGATTAATAGGAGCAAAAGAAAGCTTTCGAGACAGCGCCGCTTTGTCAGAATCTGTGGCACCAGATTCCCAAGAGTGAGAAGCACCTGCAGCACTGGGCATGATATATGGACATGTATTAATAATTGAAGATGATACAGGAGATGCCTGGTACGCTTTCACAACAGCACCTATAGCCGCCTTTTGCTGGTGTGCACTCACAGAAAATTTGTTTGTTATGGCTAGGAGCCAAGGTATTCCAAGAGATTTAGCCTCATCCAAAAGAAGTGAAACGGCAGGTTGTTGCTGCGATGAGTCTGGATGGCTATATCTTGGTATCCTGTGAGACAGGTTATGCACAAGAACAATGAGATCTGTTTTCTTACTCAGATCGCGAATTCCCTTCCAAAGCTCGTTCCTGAACCCAGATGCCTCCTCATTTAAATTCTGCAACATAGATCAGAGAGTAAAACCTAAAATTCTAGAGTACAAAATGAAATTTTACTGCAAGCTAGCAATGCGACGAGAGATATAGGGGAAAAAAAAAAAGAACAAGCACAAGCACAAACATAGGCACATAATACTCCAGACTGAAGTAAACACAGAAAATCATCTCTTTGTACAGAAAACCTGCAAATTTACTGCTGCTGAATCTGAGTACCACAATCCACCAGCAATACCTTCTTGAACATCAACCTCTATATGTAAATTTTCAGGACTACTATTGTTAGTAGTTCTGCCTTGCTCCAAAATTGCATTTAGGAGCGAAGTTTTACCAGCACCCTACAGAACATACAAAAATATCACCTCAACAAACATTCAGGTGTTTGACAAAATCAGATATATTAGAATCTCAACTATAATAATGAAGCAATACCTCAAGGCCAATTAGACGTACTCTAC